CCAGCACGATGAGCTTGAACACCTTTGCAGTCAAGTTCAGCAAGTCTGCTACTCGCGCTGATCATGAAACATCCTGTCTCCATCACAATACGAAGAAGAGGAAAAGACGAAGAAGAAGAGGAAGAAAAAGAAGAAGAAGAAGAAGAAGAAGAAGAAGAAGAAGAAGAAGAAGAAGAAGAAGAAGAAGAAGAAGAAGAATTGATAAGCGAGGCCAATCGCTATGCATCCATGTCTCAATGATGTACATTAGAGCACCTGCACGGACTAACAGCTCAACGCGCACATTCCCCGACGTGTTTCGTCTGGCTGCGCACCAGGGCTTATCAAGGGGCTATCCACTCTCCCGCATCCACTGTAACGTTCCACCTTGAGCAAAGAGGGGCTTCCTGGCCTTGCCCTCCTCCGATATAGCTTGCGCAGACTCCTCGTCTGCAACTGACTGGGTGGGCGCTTACCTGACTCACTCGTAACTGACTTGGCGTGCACGTCCGCACGTCCCGTCTTCCCACCACCTCACGTGTGCGTCTTTGCCTACGCCAGAGAGGAAGAAGAAGAAGAAGAAGAAGAAGAAGAAGAAGAAGAAGAAGAAGAAGAAGAAGAAGAAGAAAAAGAAAAAGAAGAAGACGAAGAAGAGGAAGAGGAAGAGGAAGAAGAAGAAGAATAGTGGAAACAGGGGCCGACTGCCTTTTGTACACGCTTCGATAGCTCTTCAATGCATAGTCGCGTATACTAATCCTAGCTTACGCACACATTCCCTGACATGTTTCAATCGGTTGCACTCCGATCATCCTCAGGGGGATTTCCTCATGACTGTGCCTTGCGGCCCACCAACAGAAGAAGAAGAGGAAGAGAAGAAGAAGAAGAAGAACAACAACAAAAGATTAAAAAAAAGAAGAAGATGAAGAAAACGAAGAGAAAGAAAAATAATAAGAAGAAAAGGAATAAGAATGAAAGAAGAATAGAAGAAGAAGAAGAAGAAGAAGAAGAAGAAGAAGAAGAAGAAGAATCGGAGAAGAATGGAAGAAGAAGAAAAAGAAGAAGAAGAAGGACGAATAAGAACC